TAGAAATTGAAATTTGGAAAATAGGTTATTTTATGGTAAGAAAAGATGTTCAAAAATTATTACATAAAGAAAAACACGAGACCATGCATAGAAACTCACGGGCAATAGCTAATATTTTTCATATATCAAAATTATTATACAAGTCGTTTAATTACAACATAGAAACAGTATCCTTATTACAGTGAAAGAAATTATTCTTATTAGACAAAAATTCTAATAAAAGAGTGATTAGGATTTGGAGAGATAAGGTTAAATAGTATTAAAAATCGCTAATATAAGAAATTAAATTGTCATACCTTCATCTCGAAGAATCATGTTAAGAACTAAAACAAACTATCCACAAACCAAAAGATTATATCATTACAATAATTAAGGCAAATGTATATGCCTTATTAAAAGGAATTATGCGGAGTTAGCGATCTCGTGAGTAAATCTACCATCACACACAGAGACACACACTACGCATAATTAATGCGTACTTTGAGATATACTTGCCATAGTTGTGTACTTGTGATGATATGTGAAAGTTGCTATTTGTGATTTGTGTAATAGTGACAGAATTAATGTCGGCTAAAAATTTAATTTCAGTATTCTTATTTTAAAATGGTAGATGAAGACTTAAACAAATATGGATAGACTGTGTAAAAGAGGGCATGGACAGAATGGGAATGAATGTGGAAATGATTGCGAATAGATATGAAAGAAACAGAAAAATATATTACGCTAATCCTACATAACTGGTATAAGGGCAGGAAAATAATAGTTCTTATTTTAAAACGAATAAAAATTAAATATGTCGATGGGTGACGCAATGATTTATAAAGACATAACATTTAAAATATTTAAATTTACATTCTGAAATAATCTGTAAATAGTATTTAACAAGGTTAAGCCAAGTAAAATTATGCTCTGGAAAAAAAAGAATCTTCTATCATGACGGAATTAATTTAGAACTTATACGGAAGTAAAACATATTGATTACATAAGATCAATAAATATTGAAAAAAGAGAATTGGAGAAAATATCGCAAAATATGGCGTGAATTTATTGGGTACAGAAGAATAACACCTGAGGAATGGCAACGCATGGGGGTATCATGGGCGAAACAATATACTCTGTTATGTCTATGGGCGACGTATAAAAAAAAAACCATTAAGAATATGTTTAAAAACTGAAATAAAAAAGAAAATGCACGCAACATTTATTTTCGTATCGTATTTCTTTATGAAAAGAAGTGACTGTTGTTTTTATATAAGTAGAAACATATAATAATATCTTTGAAAAAGACTAATTGTTGCTAAGCTTTTTATTATGAAACATGATGAATGAGGGTTACAGGCCTGAATGTTTTTAATTAAAACCGCCGTCGCTTTGTAAACTACTCTTGGTCGCATGTTAGATATTGTTAAAATAAATATAAAAGAGACATAGTACCTGCTGGAGATATAAAAAATGTTATATTATTTTTCTAATTACAATTTTTTCTATTTTTAGACATTCACTACGTATTTTAATAAGGTGTGTGATACTAGTATTATGTTATCTGTAATAATACAGTTTATCGTTTCCAAATTGATTAATTAATTATCTTTTATCTTTAATTAATGTTTTAAGGCAATTATTATCAAATTATTTATTTTTTATTTATACTTTTGCACACATTGGAAAATGTCTACAGGGCGGACGTAACGCCTGTTGGCATTCTCTACCAGTCAACCGTTACGCTAAACAGAGAGAGTAAATGGCGGTGAATAGATTTAAAAAAAATGTAAATTGAATAAATATTTACATTATTTAAAATTTAAGTTTAAAACCACACAAATTTATAAATACATTATATATATAACATAATTATATATTTTGTTTTTTATGTTTGTATTAATAAAAAACAAAACATTGTACAGCGGAACATAAGCCTCCCCTTGAGGGGTTTTGCCAATAGTTGCCACACTTGGCAAGTGGGTTGGCAACTTAAGTTAGGCTTTGATAATGTTTTAAGAAGGACGTTGCTGACAATCCCTCGACATTTAAATTTCCTTAGTCGCCTTTTACGATACCCACGGGAAAGGAAGCGGCGGCTTATTTTATGCCGGAACCACACGGTGTAGTGAGTCCTACTATATTGTAATTATTTATATCAACTTAACTCTCGTTTTAACCGCGCTCATGAATAAGGGCTCTCATTGAGTTGGAAATTATTTGGCCATCCCCGAGTTAAAAACTTGAGTAAAACCGACATAATAATAACAAAATTAGTTCTTATTTTTATTGGATGAATATGGGAACGAATTGAAAATTTCTTCCATTTTTTTTTATACAACTTAGAATGGCAAACAAGCTGACGGCGCACCTGATGGAAAGTGGTAACCGTCGTCTATAGACATGAGCAGTACCATGGACATAACAGAGTGTACTGTTTCGCCCATGATACCCCCCATACGTTGCCATCCCTGAGGACTCAGGTGTTATTCCTCTGTACCCTGTAAATTCACGCCATATCCCACCCTTCAAACCGAAACAGAGCCATGCAAACACAACTGCTTCACAGTAGAAACAGGAATGGGACAGAGGTACCCAAGCAATCGACTTTTGTACAAAGTCTCCCTTTACTCCTTACTTTACTGGTACTCCATTAGGAAGACTCATAACAACAAAAATAATTCGAATCCACCGTACAAAAATAGTATTATAAATGTATACAATTAATAAACGAATCTACGTCGTAATCGAATAGGAAAATGCGTCATTGAGGCAACGAAGCAAGATGTTAAGTAATGTATTATAGAAAATAATTTACGTCATAAGATAATATCACGTAATTTGATACTAGAACTATACTTATCTATTTACTACATCTACCAGATAGTTATAAATAACGACATTTCATTATATCTGATCCCTAAATAAAGAAAAAACACCATGCACCTCTCCCATTATTTTGGATAAACACGAAATATTTTATTGCTTTATATATATTTATATATTATTCACACATGTTTGATTACCAAATTTTGTGTAGCAAATTTCACAATAAAAATTAGTACACAAAAGAGTAACTTATAGAATATTTTTATTCCAAATTACATGGGAAAATTCACAGATTACAACAAATAGCACCAATATTCTAATCCGAAAAAAAAAACATAAATATACAGATGTATCATCATCATCATCATCATATCAACCCTTAATCGTCCACTGCTGAATATAAGCCTCCCCTTTGGAGTTTTACCAGTAGCTGCCATGCTTGGCAGGCGGATTGGCAACTGTAGTGAGGCTTTAGAGATATTTTAAGAGGGACGCTGCTGTTCATCCTTCGCCGTCCTTTAGTCGACTTTTATGGGACTACATTGACAAACAGATAGTTTATATCTTAGATTTATTTATACATTATTATTAAATTTTATTCTTGGCTATGTGTTCAAAATTATAAAGTATAGATAAATTTATTTTGGAATGGGTAGACTGAATCTAGTGTTAATGAACTCCTTATACATGATACATAAAAAACTTATAAATATAGAAAATAAAAAGATATTATTCCTAATTTATAATCGTATCTGTATATTAAATTTATTCATATTGTTAATAAAAGAAATGTATAGTTTGATGTTTCACCATAAGACATAAAATTGAGAAATTGAGTTTGCTAAACAAGATGTTAGGTGTTACGAAACTTTAACGACAGAAACCGTTTCGCATCGACGGCTGCAACGCAATGTATTGCTTATATCTATTTTATTTATGAGTCAAAATAAATAACAGAGTAGTGCAGTGGATAACGTGGACATCGACGCAAAATGTTGACTGTAAACGTGTGTGTATTAGAACAACAAGTACAGTTTCCTTAAAAAAAAAACCATGACTTGCAATTAAATTGATTGTAATCAGACTATTCTTAGGTTAAATAATATGAATAACGGGATTTTTTGTCAACAAGTAATTTTTTTTCGAGAAAGAAACGTTACAGTCAATGTACCTATATAGTAGGAGAAATTTAGCCCTCTGGCGAATTCCAGACTGTTTTGAAAACTTTTATTATCTCAACTAAACAAAACACGTTCTATTTAAAATAATTGAAACACGATCATAGTATCATGTAGCAATACATGATCATAGAATACTGTATGAGGATATGCGTGATCATAATTAATTAAAGGCGTGGCCAATTCTAGCTGAGACCATAGTATATCATAAATAATTGAAAATTGCAATAAACTTTTGTTAATTTCCCAAATATATTTATATATTTATAGTCATCCCGTAACGCCAGACAGGCAACAGATCGTCTTTTTTCATAGACTATTATATTTGTAGCTGGTAGCTCATTTGGTATCTGTGATATAGATTTGTTGGATTTTTGAAGCTTTCAATTAGATATTGTCCAGATAAATCTATAAATTGTTGCCATTGTCAAATGCTGCCGTAAAACAATTATAAAATGCGAGAAAAGTGAAATCCTAAATTTAAGTAGAGGTTTCCCTTTTGTTAATTTATTTTGATTTTATACCTTTCTAACTTAGTGATTTCATAAATAAAGTTGAATATTTCGTCATAGGTTCTCCATTATTTTCTGAAAACCCAAAGCGTCCGCCATTAGAGAACTTCCCTCTATGTTACAACTGTATGCTATTTTTTCAATGTCAAATCTTTTTACAATCCTTCTTTACATTTAATTATAATAATGTCATAATTGAAGTAGTTTGTTACCTGATGAAAAAAAAATTAGGAAGTTCACAAGTTCATATGTATCTTTTATATGTACACGGTACCTAGCCTGACATTTTTATTTGAACAAAATGTTAAATTATATACATTTATTGAACTATAAATGATCGAGAAAAAAATATTAATAAACCTTTACAAACCCTCATATATATATATGATACAAAACAGCATATAAATAAGCAAAAAAACACAATTGTTCTCTTGAGATCTATTAAGTACGTCATATGTGCACAATATCTTCAAATGTGTTTCCGTAATTGTAACCATGGAACTGATAATTTCATACTGTATATATAATGATTGAGACCACAATGATATTTACTTGTTGCGAAGACACATTCGTTTGCAGTACTGTGCTGAAACAGATAAATATGTTGTATATTATTTCCTTCAGTATACTGTTGTTAAGCTACGTGTCTGCTGAATCTCTACGTGAGTGGTTTTATTATAAAATATTATAGTGATTATAAAAAAGGATCTTGCGATATAATATTTTTTTTTCATATTCATTTATTCAATAACAACTATACAATTGTGTTTGAAATAAGTTACAATATTTTATAAAATATAATAATGTTAAACTGTTTGTCAAATACACAATTAATAAATTCCTTGAAAGTGTAAAAATATCCTTTTAACAAAATAGATCTAAGCTTATATTTGAGAGTATTAAAACTATCAGTGCTTTTCATATCAGTGGGTAACTTGTTGAATAATCATAATTATGTTTACCAGAGGGAGACTTTGTACAAAATTCGATTGCTTGGGTACCTCTGTCCCATTCGTGTTGCAACCGTGAAGCAGTTGTGTTTGCATGGCTGTGTTTCGGTTTGAAGGGTGGGATATGGCGTGAATTTACAGGATACAGAGGAATAACACATGAGTCCTCAGGAATAGTAACGCATGGGGGTATCATGGGCGAAACAGTATACTCTGTTATGTCCATGGTACTGCTCATGTCTATAGGCGACGGTTACCACTTTCAATCAGGTGGACCGTCAGCTTGTTTGCCATTCTAACTTGTATAAAAAAAAGAAAAAAATGTTGAATAACTAATTTTTTTATAATAATTAAATATAAGCATAAAAATTTTGGAATGATTTGCAGTATAGATTAGTCTTTAAATAGTTTATTAGTCAGTGTTACCAATGTGAGTTTCATCGCGTAAAGTCTTGCGTGATATTAACAATACTTTATAAAATAATACGATCTTTTCAGCAGAGTTCATAAATTTTTGCTCGAGAAATAATCCAAATTTCAAGCTATGTGCCTTAAAGTTTGCTAGAAAATTATGAAAGCAGTGAAAAGAAAATTTTAAAACAAATGATTAATAATAAAAATAATTGTAATTTTTAAAACGATACGATCTTTTCAGCGGAATACATAAATTCCTGTTCGAGAAATGATCCAAATCTGAACGAATGTGCTTTAAAGTCTGCTAAGGATTCATTACAACAATTTTCACGTGGCGATCCAAATAGAAAGTTACCTCCTCTGGATCCATTATATGTATCGGAAATGACCGTTTTCGTTCCTAACCAAAACGGATTTAAATTAGTATTCAAAGAGAATTATTTCCATGGTTTATCAGATATGAAGCTAGAGAACTTGAAGTGAGTATTAAAATCAATTATAATATCATTGTATATATCATTCCCGAAAGGTAATAACATTTTATAATGGTAATAATTATCAACTCTGGACATATTACTCAGCGCCATCTACTTATGTGCTTTTACTTACCAACTGATACAGATATATTTATAAACATATAATACATCGAAAAATGTCCAAATCAATACAAACAACTTACTTGTAAACTTATGATTATGCTTGAAAATAAATACACCTATATAACCCAAGACATTACAAAGTATGACTATAATAAAATTATTCTCTCAGATGCTCATATTGATTGATTTCATTTCCTCAGTTTCACCCACGACTTTAACTGAGGGTCTACCGTGAAATGAAATTCCAAATTCTTTGGACTCAATTTCGTATTTTTGTTGGTACCAAAATTGGCCCAGTAAATGGAGCTTAACATTTTGTCATAAATCCTACCACAATAGTTCAAAAGAACGATATTATAACATTTTTAATATTTTTAAACCCTATGTATTATGTAATATTAACATCAAATTTGTGTTTCGTTCGGTCTCGAAATTTCGGAAAATGTTGCATGGTATTTCTCTATCTTACCGATATAAAAAGAAGCTTGTGTCCCTTTCTATCTTAAATACTAGTGTGCACGGTATGATGATCGAAGCTAATTTCATTATTATAATATTATTAATATTTATTTAGTCGTTAGTACCCAGCAAAAGGCTTCCTCATTTAATTATTCTTTTTCTCTCTTTACTCAACATATCCAAATCTAATTAAACATGCCATCTACGTCATAATCTTCTAGTAGTTTTCAAATGTTTAAATCATTTTATGTAGTTCTTGGAAAGTTTCGAGTTTTATTAATAAAATTTGTAATACCTAGGTAGATACGAGTACTATTCCAAGTTCGCTAATTAGACCTAATTATGTTTAATAACTAGTGTATATTATGTATCATATTAATCAAGTACCCACTAATACTAGATAATTAATTCAACAACATAACTCTGATTTACGCAGTCAGTAATATTTGAAATTAATGAATTAATGTCTTAATTATTTACAAACAAGATATTTTTAACCCAAATTAGAGAATGACTTCAACTGTGTGGTAAGAGACATAGTAAAGTTTGCAAAATAAATTTCACGATATTTTAATTTGTATATATATATATATATATATATATATATATATATATATATATATATATATGTATATGTATATATTTTTGTTTTGTATTTAAATAGTAATTAATATCATAAAAGACATTGTTTATTACTTGATTGTTTATATACGACTGAGTATAAGGAAATTAATTTAATTAAAAGATAAATAATGTAAGATATAATATATTTATCTGTTACATTTTTAATCTTAATGTAAAAATAATTAATACAGAATTTTTAAATGGCTTCAAAAAGAAAAAGGTAGTACTTGTATATGCGTATATAATAAAATAATGGTTCATTATTCTGTTACAATTAAAATATTTTGCACCATAAAAAAATTACCGTTAAACATAAAACCTCTGTATTTTTTTTAGTACGTTAAAAATACTTTGTTTTGTTTATTAATTAGAATGAAAATAAAGATAGATAATACTAATATTATATAATATTTATTATGAAGTAATTACTAAACTCTACTAAATACAACTCAGTAGCAGCTTAAATAATTACACCTAATTATACGTCACTGACGTTCTATTTCTGCATCACTACGGTAACGGATAATCTTTAATTATCCTATCTGAAATTATAAACATGAGCACATTTATTTATTTCAAACTAGCTTTTACCCACGACTTCGAACGTGTAAATTTTGGAGGCAGTAACCATTCCTAGATAGATAGATAGATAATTTATTTGCATTACTTACAGCACAGAAATTACAACATATACTTATATACATAAAAAGCGAAATAACATAAATTATTTAAAAAAAATACATAAAGCCAATTACAATTTTTCGTTTGTGCGTATGCCATAACAATACTTTATGGCCACAACTCAGTTTATTGCTTCGCCCTCAAAAGAGCAAAGCACTGATATTCTGTTGCGGCCAAAGGGAATAAGGTAACAATAAAACAATACCACCAGATTATCCATACAGTTAATAGATAGATATACAGTAAACAGATATGATATATCATCCTAGATGACGTATTAAGATAAAACACACGACTTTTTAAGACCTTTAGAAACAACTATAAAAACGAAATTCAATTTAAAAAAGTAGATTTAGCGTATTTATGGGACAAACATACAGACAGAAAGACAGACAGAGGGACAAACAGAAATCTTATAAAAGCTGAAACAATATTTCAGCTTTTACTGCTCTTATTAAGATCAATCATGTAACGTTTTCTTAAAGATCTCCTATGAATACATCAAATGAAAATATTCAGAATTTGACTAAAGTTTTCATATAATTTTTTTTAGAAATCATTCATTATTATCATCATATCAGCTTTTAACTGTCCACTACTGAACATAAACCTCCCCCTAGAAGGTTTTGCCAGTAGTTGCCATGCTTGGCAGGCGAGTTGACAACCGCAGTTAGGCTTCGGAGATATTGTAAGAGGGACGCTGCTACCTATCTCTAGCCCTTCCTTAATCGCTTCTTACGACACCCGCGGAAAAGAAAGGGGGCCTATTTTATGCCAGGACCACACGGGAATTTTTTTTATAGAATATTTTCTTTGCTAACTGTATTCTTATAGGTATACTATTAATGAACTATGTGCCCGACTAACGACGACGTCATGACTTACGGACAATTAGCTTTGGGCCTTTTAATTACGATAATATTATGACGGAGCCTTAACTTAAAGGGGCCGTTTAAATAATTAGGCACAGCGATGATTCAATAAACACAAAAGGAGTAATGGAGTGAAAAACCTCGTAGTGATCTAGCGGAATTTTCTTCACAGTCGACCGGCAGTTAGGTTGTTTTCTGTATTGTCTAACTTTTACTTAGATACTGCTTATTTTGAAATTTTAAGCCTTTATATGAAATCATAATAAAAATAAAATTACAAAAAAAAAGTTTCAAGACACAGTTATATTGTGACTCTTAATGTGGTAGTTAAAGATTAGCTATTACCGTTGTGAACACAATACACCTGCTTAAGATTCACGAGCATTAAAATAGAGTCCCATATGATAGAGGGCGAGCCTATCACTATCACTCGATTTAATTTGTTTTATTGACGGTATTTTACATCATCTAAGAGATAGATGTAAATTTAAAATGATACACAAGTGTTAGATGTTGCCATAGAAAAAACATTGCATTATCTATGGTGTCGATCAGATTCGAATTTATGACCTTTGGAGTTTAAGTCATTTTCACTGGACCATGCTGATTTCGATTATTTTCATAATACATAAATAATACTTGCTCTCTAATAACCTGAAGTAGAATGATTACGCTCATTTCCTATTCAATACCTATCTAATCGAGAAATCGGGAAATTGAAGCCAAGTACAAGTCTCCGATGTATAATACGTAATAAGGATGGAGAGATGTAGGACTTCAAATCGAGGGCATAAGGTTAAAGTTGGCATAAAGATACCTACATAAATTATTTATTAAAATTTTTAAAAATATCCTTCACGAGTACTTTGCTGTGCAACATAGATAAATTCGATTATGAACTCTATTCCATTTAGAAACAATACGTTATAGAAAAGTGGATATAATCAATTGTGAAAAATGCGATTTGGCATACAATCGTAATAGATATAATACAGAATCGACACGAAGGTAAAACATTTTTAATACTTGTTTTATAAAAATATCGCTGAATTCGAAACATCTTTTTATTTTCGAAGTGATGTCAAAATATTATACTTTAGAAATCTTGCAATATTTTTCTATTTAGTTTACAAGCTGGAAGTTTATAAACTAAATGCTATTCATCATCATCATATCAGCCTTCAACTGTCCACTGCTTAACACAAGCCTTTCCCTTGGGTGGTTATGCCAGTATTTGCGCAGTCAAGCCTTGAAGATGTTTTAAGATGGGCGTTGCTGCCCATCCCTCGCCCTCCCTTAGACGTCTCTTACTTTACCCACGGGAAAGGAAGGGGTGCCTAATTCTATGCCGAGACTATACGGCAAAAAAAAATGCTATTATCTCATCAATAAATTATCTTTTTGTGAGATATCTCAAGATTTTTAGTAATAACGACAGCTCTATTGCTAAGAACAACGATTAACATAATATGACTAATATATTTCTACTGAATTTGCAGATTTGATTTAAATAAAAAAATTATATTCACTGAAGCGATTGTGAATTTGGATGTACATAATAAATATGAACTCAGTGGGAAACTTGTAGCACTTCCTATCACATCTAATGGAGATTCGTCTATAAAACTAAGTAAGTTTACATTTACTTCATTGTCGTAGTAATCCGTCAACTGAATTTTAAATATTTATTTATATTAATAAAATAAATATTATATGTTAAATATTATAAGCAAGTATTTGTTTACAATTATTTATTTTTTCTATTTCCGCTACTATTAGTACGTGTGCAAACACTCGAAGATTGACCACTACTGTTAATATCAAATTGTCATAACCTTCCGTGTTAGCCATCAATCTCCGACTGCCATTTCGTTAACGCATGTTTTGCAGTATTTATAATAAATTCGATAATATTTTATAGTTTATCCATTAAAAACATTAAACTTTGTCAATAATATAAATAATAAAAAAAAACTCTAGGTAAAAACTAAAATGATATTTAAGTTAAATATGAGCCCCTAATTTTTTTTCATGAATTTCAGAAAATACAGCAATACAAATAAGTTTATGGTATGAACACGTGACTGGAGATGATGGGAAGATACATTGGAAAATTGTAAAACACAATATCAAATATGATATAGAAAAAGCTGTTTTCAGACTGGAAAATTTACTTGGTGATAAAGTAATCGGTAAGTTTAAATATTATACATTATTTTAGGTATATCATAAATTTGATACTGATTTTGCTTAATTTATACTTTAAAAAAATGAGTTTATCTTTTATGTTTTGACACAAAAGATGCTAATCTATAACAACAATCTGGTTATTTATTTTATATTTTAATTGTACTAGTATCTTATATTGCTAAATATGTTGCTAATAAGCTCAAAATACGAGAATGGCTAAACTAATACAGCAATTTTTTTTTCCGTTTAAGTCTGAGGAATGTTCTTATAAAGAGAAAAAGTGAAAACGATTGTCAGAAAATACGTAAATACCTTATTTTCTTTTTCTTCATACAAATTATTCCTAGTTGCCAATTCAAACTTCTAATAGCTTTTGACTGAACGACATCTATCGGGACAGATAATCAATAACAAATTTTGAAATGTATTTTTGTAACTTTTTTTTATATTCTGGAAAAATAATCAGAAGCAGAAGAACAAGTATGGTTCATATTCATATTATATATGTAAAACGATATTATATTTCTTAGAACTTAGAGTTCATTTTACCTTATCAAGGTTAAAAGAGAAACCTTCTAGGAAATGTCTTAGATATTTTCCCTTATCTACATCATATTATGTTCTACTTCATAATTCCTTATTTATATTATTAATATTTGAATAGCTGATGTTATCAAGCTCAATGATAATTTTGCCTCTATCCAAAATTCTTTGAAATCTTTTACCCAAAAATACACCGGATGCAACTAATAATCAGCTTGTCATTCACACAAAAACTCTGAATGTTTTGATCATAATATTATAAGCCTGACCTTCATGACACAGGATTTTCCTAGCATAGAGGCCAGAGACATTTACTGTGAATGAATATGTTGTAATTGCATCTGTATATTATGTCTAATTAATTATTATTATCATAAGGAGGTTTATGCGCATAAAAAAATCTTATTAATTTTAGTTAAGTTTGTATGCGAAAACGGTTTTAATAGTAAAATACCATATCGATAGACAACAACAATACAAATAATATTTATAATTACATATATATGAATTCCGTCCGAATAAAGAGTGTCGTTACAACTTTAGTGTTACTAGTGATATATACATTTTCATTTACTAGAAATGTTTTAATTTTGCTATTCGTAATTCTCAAAGACGTGAATGCAAAATTTTGTAGATAGGTGTAGATATCTGTAATTTAATTATATTTAAAATACCAAATATATTTGAGTAAAATTTTGTAGATACAGATATTGCATTATATTTATATATATATATGGTAGACTAAATTTTGTTCTAATTCATGATAGTAAAACCAGAGAAAATAGTTATCACTCAATGGTGACTTGTATTATTTATTTACTTGTAACGTTTATTTACAAAATATTATACCTAGTAGGTAGAATTTTAACAAAATTCTTTTATAGATAACAAAAATTAATTACGAAATAAAATATCTTACAGCTTACAACTTTTAAAATGTAAATAAATAAAAACTTTTTTGCTTCCGAATGCTTTATGGGAGTAACGATGTTTGCTAACAAACCTGCGAGTTCATGATGAATCATCGCCGAGGGCATTTTATGGACACATAACAATAAAACCTTACAATTTATGAGGCGAAAGTGGATAACACGGTTTTATAAATGAATTCGCTTATTTGACAATCTTTAAACGAAAACATCTCCCATCTATGCAACTTTAAGTGATTAATATTAAAAGCAATCTATATCTATTGTCACGAATACTATGTATGTGACTACTAAATTTCGTGACGATTGTTTAACTCGAAAAAGCCTTGAAAAGAAACAAACAAATAAAAAACAATCTTACTTTAATATCTTTAGTTGATATTATAAATGTGAAAGTGCCTTTGTTTGTTTTACCTTAGCACCCTAGCGATTTAACTTTTAACTATGAAATTCGGTATACGCGTACTTACATGGAATGAAAAAGGACGTTAGTTACTTTTTATCTCGGTCAACGAACACGATATTCCGTATTTCACTTGAATTTTGAAATGTCATTGTATATCTTTATGTTTTTAGTATAATAAAGAGTTAAATAAATAAATAATATCAGTCAAATAAGCAAAGTCGCGGGTAAAAGATAGTTTATAAATAATAATAATAATAACTTTATTGCATAACCATGATTGTAACAAACTCAGCACTGGAAATTACAGTAAAAGTAGATACGAATTAATTTGTACATTAATAAGTGTTATTAAAGACATTTGGTAAAAATACAATTATATATATAATTATGACAATACTATTCGTTATTATCCCTTCAGGTGAACAAGTCAATATGCTTTTGAATGAATTATGGCGAGAAATCGTTGCTGACGTCGGTCCTTCTGTCTGCAATTCTCTTATTGAAGCCGTGGTGGAGACCTTGAGTGTGCTTCTTGCTCAAGTGCCGTATGACGAGTTAATGCCAGAATAAAATGTTATGTAAATTGAATCAAATCTAGAATTGTAATAAAAATAGTAAAACAAACATGCAAGTGTGTTTAATTAAAAATTTTACTCTTAAATTAAATATAACAAATAAAAACTTATACTAAATAAGTATTCGTGATTAGAATGAAATAAATATTCAACGAGTTATTTTCAATAACACATTTATTATTGTTATCCAGCACACTTAATCATTACAAGTGAAAATCTAGTTTAATTATTATTATATTTCCTTAAATCCAAATGGAAAGTAAGTGTTATTATCTATGTGTTACTTTAATGCCATCGTATTAATTATCATTTCAACTGTTAACTGTCCCCTGCTGAACATAAAAGTTCCAAATATGAGGAGTTTTGCTAGTAGTTGCCACGCTTGGCAGGTGGGATGGCAACCGCAATTAGACTTTTAGAGATGTCTTAAGAGGGATGCTGTTGCCAATCCCTCTACTATTAAGTTCCTTTAGTTGGCTCTTACGACACCCACAGGAAAGGAAATCTATTCAATGTCTAGACCATACGAGATACTTTGTACAAATACCAGAGGGAGACTTTGTACAAAAGTCGATTGCTTGGGTACCTCCGTTCCATTTGTGTTTCTACCGTGAAGCAGTTGTGTTCGCATGGCTGTGTTTCGGTTTGAAGGGTGGGATATGGCGTGAATTTACAGGGTACAGAGGAATAACATCTGAGTCGTCAGGAATGGCAACGCATGGGGGGGGGGGTATCATGAGCGAAACAGTACACTCTGTTATGTCCATGGTACTGCTCATGTCTATAGGCGACGGTTACCACTTTCCATCAGGTGGAATGTCAGCTTGTTTGCCATTCCAAGTTGTATAAAAAAAAATACTGAACATGTGAAATATTAATTAATGAGGTTGTCATTAAGTATATATTTATATTAGATGACACAGATATGCGCAGACATGCTTATTAGGAAGAAATAGAGTAGCGCTTTTTTTTGTAAGTATAAAACAATATCCTTTTTCAATTTTTTTTTTGCACTTACAAAATTTCCCCGTTTTATTTTTCCTTTGATGTCACTCTTAAGTATCTTCAGCTACGAAAAAAAATAATGAGTAAAATTGAGTGCTACCGTAGAATCAATTTCTTTATAGCGGACAACGAACGTCATGTAAAGTGCGTTTTTGGTTTGAAAGAAGTCTATTCAGAAAATTTCAATCAAGGTCTTCTAATACTCGTAGAAAAGTATAAGAAAAAATACCAACGACATTAAGAGTGTTGAATTTTTAAATAATATTTTAAAATTCAACACTACATGTTTAGATCGTTATAAGAAAAAAAAATACTAATAAGTGTATATAAAATTGTCTTTATATGTGATGATGCAGTATATAATTATATCAAAGAAAAAATATACAAAACAAAATGTAAAGCACGTTTGTCTTTGTGTATGCTCTCAATCATACTAATATTATAAATATGAAAGTATATAAATATGTTCGTAAATATATTTGTTATTAAATCATACTTATACGCTGATTGCATTTGAACTTACCAGAGGGAGACTTTGTACAAAAGTCGATTGCTTGGGTACGTCTGTTCCATTCGTGTTTCAACCGTGAAGCAGTTGTGTTTGCATGGCTGTGTTTCGGTTTGAAGGGTGGGATATGACGTGAATTTACTGGGTACAGAGGAATAACACCCGAGTCCTCAGGAATGGCAACGCATGGGGGGTATCATGGGCGTAACAGTATACTTTATGATGTCCATGGTACTGCTCATGTCTTTAGGCGACGGCTACCACTTTCCATCAGGTGGGCCGTCAGCTTGTTTGCCATTCTAAGTAGTATAAAAAAAAAGAATAAGTATTGTACATGGATTGGTTGTATCTAAATTTAACATATTGGACACTTTATACACTAATTCATACGGGCGAAACCAGAGCAAACCACTAGTATTATATAGTACTTATAATAGTATATGGGTCCATTTTAATTTGAAGATTTTCCGCTACAATGCCCTTAATTAAATCCTTGTGGGTCAGAAATGAAATGCCCCGTAAACCTTCGTTTGTTCACTAATTGATGAATTTACCGATATCAAATTACTGTTGAAGGTAACCGTTAAATATTATTATAGTTATTTAATCGTTTTGTTGTTATTGACTTCTATTGTAGAGGGCTTAGCATTGAAAGTTATGAAAGCGATAAATTTTTGTACTACTTTTTGCCGACATCCTGCAGCAATCTAAGCCGCCGTCTGGCATTTTAAAACAGTCTAGGTTGACTGTATTAGCCATTTTCTCACGCATAATGGTCTTATCATGAAGCTAAATACGAAAATATCCGGATAAACCAACTTTTGAAATTATTAAAATTTCATTTACAAAAACAATATATCTGAATTATACTATATATTGTTTATAACAATATATGCCTAACATATGGTCCGCAAAAAAGATCAACAATGTAAAAGTGTGGCAAATATATTCTATCATTTTATTTTATTTATTTTTGCTTCCTATTTTTATTTTTATTTCATAGAATATGGAGTTCACTGTTTCCAAATAATTGGTTACGGAGATATGTTACAGTAGCGTTGTTGGTTTTCAATTTGACCACTGTTATACGTTGCTATAGAAAAGTTTTCGTTTTTTTTATTAATAAATGGTTTAAATAAATAAAAAAAATTCGTATCATAAATACTAAAATAATTTATAATACAAATATTTAGATTTAAAAAATCTGTAGAAAAAAATTGTTTAACATAAACATAAAAACATAAAGCGATCGAGTTGATATAGATTTTGTTGTTTTATAGTTGTTCAGTTTTTTAATTAAAATAGGAATATTCTTAATGAAAACTACTTCATATCTAAAATTATATCAAATTAAATCTTTCTAGTGCCTATAAAATAGTAGAATTTTCAATTATTAATCAACCATCATTGGTAATCTTCATCATCATAATCTTGAGAGAAAGAATCGTGATTAATTTTATTATTAAATTATCAATCATATATCGTAGTTATAATAAATAGTTATTGTTCTTAATAATAATGTTTTAACCTGTGTCAACAATAATTATGTACGTATAATTGTATTCAAAATATAAATGCCCGTAATTATTATAGAAATTTCTCTTAAATGCATAGAAGGAAACACTTTTATTACGTAATTAAATTTTAAGATCAGCGGAAAGGAAACCACCGCCGCAGGCTTTATTAATTATTATTATTATGAATATTGTAACGCATAAACGAACTGGAATAGAGGTGGGTGTTACTCTCACGATTTTCATAACCAATTTTCTAGAAATTGCCTCCAAATAGCTGTTGTTCAGAAAGTCATTTTACCTTTTAAGCAGTGATCCCTTTGTCGCCTATTCACTTAATTGCCATTAAAATTTATCTGACAATTTAAGCTTTGATTAACAATACAGTGGTTGGGGGATTTGTTTTAATGAACTAGGTAAAATATTATTCAGAACCTGATTACATAGTTGTTTTGCTTAAAAAATCTATAAAAGAAGTCAGAAAAAGCTCGGGATCAGTCATGTGAAAATAATGTCAAATGAAAAGTTGACGAAACAAGTAGATAGGTATACAATTCAAACGTAGATGGATGTAGATACTGGAGAGGACTCGACCCAAAAAAGAGACGGAGTCAAGAGTCTCCGCAATCGACTTGCATTTATAAGATGAGTTATGAAAATATATGAAGCATATGATATAATTATATAATGACAGTGATACACTGCCTACTCTGCAAGGGACTAAACGTAAAGATAAATGGTTATATCTGAATTAAAAATAAAAATAATTACGTAGTGTTACTTACGGTCACTAATAAATAAACCTGTTGTGTAACATGTAATTATACATAAACTTGTTAGAAGACATCTCTACAAAAAAACAACAATTTAGACAAGTTTTTCATTTAGTTATAAAACCAGACTGTTATTTTATACCTACATTTTAAAGGGCAATCATATGATTATTAGATGATTTTAAATTACAGTGAGTAGTAGCACTTACTGTACTTAACAATTATTAATAATTTCAAATCCAAAGATATAGTTATCATACTATAATTAGATACTACTTCATATGTCATTACAAGAATCAAACATGGAAACTACTGTGACTGCTATAATATAGACTGTGGTTATAATTAACTGCTATTATAGGTACTTACACATAAAAGTACACATTGAAATATTTTTTATGTGGTTTTATGAAAAAGATTAAATTAATTAAGTATATATAAAACAAGAAAGAGGGATAGATAATGGTTATACTGTATACTGTAATTTTTAAATTTAGTCAACTAAATAAACATTGGGCTGACTAAATTTGGCATATTTTTTCTAATTAAACAAAACGCGCTTATTTTCATAGTTAAAAAAAAACTTAATTAAAAGTTTCTAAGATCAGATCGAATATTTTCAATGGGAATTATTAAATAAACTATTTTTGCTAATATCATATAAATTTATATATGTACATATTGTTTATAGATATATTTGTATTAATTAAAAAAAAAACCTTTTTCAATTATTTAAATAATAATACATTTTATATCTATACACAGTAATGATAAACATCGTTAGGAATTATTGCACATTCTTGACCATATAATTTCTCCCATATACTGTATAGTAAACGTATATATATTCTATTCACGCACAAATGGTCTAATCTCGCCTGTGCTAAAGGTATACACTAGCGGGACACCAGTGAAGGATGATAGGTAAGAATAAAAAAACAGGTCAGTTAGTCAATCATGATGAAATTCAGCACGATGATTTCCAGGGGGAACCGCGTGGAGGTCGACCGGACAGAGTATATTGCCAGCAATGGAACTGGTAGTCCGCATTACTAACAATCCCTTCCCCCCGATGAAAAATGGTTAGCGTCGCATATAAACACGAACTGTACTATGGAAACAAGAGAGTGTACTGTATAGTTCATGATGCGTTGCTATTACTGAGGCTTCAGGGTTTTATGCCTTTGTACCCTCTAATTTTATTGCCATATCCCACCATTAAAACTGAAATACAGCCAAAAAAAATTGCACGGTTT